AACCTTGATGTAAATATGCTAAGCATTCTAGACAGCAGCGACCTGACATTTTCTTAGTCTTCTTAAATTTCTTATAAGCAATCATATTTGTTACTAATGTCCCTGGCAATTCTTTCCCAGGAACCAGCTTGGACTATGCCACACTGCTCTCCAATAACTAGAGTAGACATAAGAAAGAAAATTAATCAGGAGCAGCTCTGAAGTTTGGGCTTTGCTTTAATGCTGGGCTGTACCCTAGGTCTTCTGTAGAAGAGCACAGTAAAGGCTCTGGCAACTCTTACAGTTAAGTAACCTAGAAAATGGCCTCAATGTTCCCGGTGCATATTCATTAGAAGACACCTGAATGTACCCCCTCCATTCTCCAGCCCAATGTTAATTTTCCTTATGTTCTGGACTTCTTGTGTGTTGAGAGTTGGATGTCATTAAAATAGCCATTTTTAGTTCAACTGTTAGAACACAAATTTGTACATCTAGCCATTAAAGACACTCTACAGGTAACAGTTTATACATTGTCTCCCAAATTTATTTGACCATGAAAACTGAGTCACTAAGGCAGTTTCAACTTCAACATGTAAAGAGCTTGAGAATAATCGTGCCCATCCTTACAACTAGAAAAAGTTGCCCTCATCAGGTGGCTCAGTTGGTTGGCGCATCATCCTGTGCAAAAAAAGATTGCATGTTCGATCCCCAATCAGGGGGCCTACCTAGGGTGCAGGTTCAATCCTCGGTGGAGGTGCATTCAGAATGCAACCGATCAATGTTTCTCTCTCACATCAATGGGAATGCTGACGTCAGGGAAAGGAATAAAGGATGGGCATGGGTAGGGGATTGTAATACTGAACTGGTGAATGTCAAGTCTGGAGACACAAACCTACTAAAAGATAAATTTAATCAGAAGACTATGGGACACTGCCCCTTACCTTACATTTTACCATCACAGCAATAGGGCTCCAATAAGAGAAAGAATGAATGGCACTTAAAAGTTCTATGAGACATAGACTCTCTCCAGGGATGACCACTTAGGGAAGCCCAAAGTCAAGAGGGCAGGGGAAGACAAAAACAAGTACACTAGAGAAACTTGGAGCCTCTGGTACCAAATAGCTACAGCAAGCATTAAATATGGCCCAACTTCTAGAAAGATTAACATAAATTTTCACACTAAAGGCCTATTTACCTCAGTTCCTATTATCCAATACATGTTCATTTCTCGACAAAAATATACAAAGCATGCCAAAAGGTATGAAAAACCCAGTCTGTAAATGAAAACCAAGCCTTAGAATGAGACCCAAATATGACACAGATGTTGAAATTACTAAAGAATTTAAAATAAATGATTAATATGTTAAGGGCTCTAATGGAAAAAGTTGAAAACATGCAAGAAGAGATGGGTAGTGTAAGCAAGGAAATGGAAATTCTAACAACCAAAAGGAAATGTTAGAAATTAAACACTTAAACAGAGATGGAGAATGCCTTTGATGGGCTCATCAAACTGGATGTGGCCAGAAATAGAATCTGTGACCTTGAAGATATGTCCATTGATACCTTCCAAAGTAAAACAGAAAGAAAAAAATTAAAAAACAGTGCATCCAAGAACTGTGAAACAATTTCAAAAGGTATAACATGCATAATGGTAATACTAGAAAGGCAAGAAAGAGAAAATGGAGCAAGAAATATTTGAATTAATGGCTGAAAACTTTCTAAACTTAATGACAGACACCAAACTACAGATTTAGGAAGCTCAAACAGCATAAAAAAGTAATAAAAAAAAATTCCACATCCAAACATGTCATTCAAATTGGAGAATGCCAAAGACAAAGAAAAAATTTGAAAGAATCCAGAGAAAAAGAACACATTACCTATAGAGAAACAAGAATAAAATTACAGCTGACTTCCTGCGAGAAACTTATGCAAGCAAGAGACTAAAGTGAAATATTTCGAATGTCTAAAGAAAAAGAAAAGACCAACCTAGAATTCTATATCCAGCAAAATTATCCTTCAAAAGTGAAGTAGACTTTCTCAGACCATGAGAAAAAGGAATTCATCACCAGTCAACCTGCCTTGCAAGGAATAGGAAGTTCTTCAGGCAGAAGGGAAATGATAGAGGTGAGAAGCTTGGTTCTACTTAAATGAAAGGTCAGGGAAAAAATAATTTTTTTATTATTCTTATTTAAAAGATAACTATTTTTTTGAAGTAATACTAGTAATAATGTATTTGGTTAGTACAGCATATGGATAAGTGAAATGAATAACAGCAATTTTCTAAGGGACAGGAAAGAGAATTGGGAACATAAAGTGCTTGCACCACACTTTAAGTGGTATAGTGTTACTTCAAGCATGCCTACATTGGGTAAAAATATATATTATAAACTCCAGGGCAACCATGAAAAACTTTTTTCAGCTGTGTTGAAGTATATAAATTTTTTAAAAGTATAATTGGTATGCAAAGAGAAGATATAAAATAGTATATAAAAAGAGATATAATACTCAAAACTAGAGGAAGACAGAAAAAAATGAAGGAAAATGATAGAAAAATGTTAAATCATGGTTGATATTAATTCAATCTATCAATTATACTTTCAATGTGAAAGATGTAAATATACCAATTAAAAGGTTGTCAAATAGATTAAAAACAAGATGCAACAATATGCCTTCTATACTTTCTATAAGAAATCCCCTTTAAAAATAAAGACCCAGGGAGGTTAAAAATAAGGGGTGGAGAAAGATATACCATACTAACACTAATCAAAAGAAAGCTGGAGTGTTTACCTCAATTTCAGACAGAGCAGATGTCACAAGGAAGATTATGGGAAATAAAGACAGAGATGGTACAGTGATAAAGAGGTCGACTGTCCAATGCGTATTTACTTAAGAACAGGGGTGGGAGGGGGCCCTGGGCCATCACACTCTCCCCTGCCAGGAGACTTCCCTTATCTCACCTGGAATGCAATCCTGCGCCCTGTAGCTACCTCCAGGCCTCCTTTGACAGACATCGTGGTCCTGGAGGTCGCACAGACCTCTAGATTTGACTTCCTTTTTTTGCCCTGCTAAAAAAAAAAGAAAAAAGACAAAAGACTGACAGTCTTATTGATGTCTGCCTTAAAATCTTTAGTAAACCTTTCCTAAGAGTTCTCAAGAGACCTTGGAATGTCTACAGTCACCAACCATGGTATGTTGATGGAATAATAGCTCCTATACATAAGTGCTGTTCTAATTGACCAAAAATTACACATACTCTATCGTGATGAACCACAAATTCCCTCGAGAGCATTTCTAAATTCATAGCATGTGTTTTCTCAAACATTAGATGCTAAACTATACCACCGTAAGCACAGACTTCTCCCATTGCAGACTCTTACTGAACAATTTAAGAAAACTCAGCGAATTGCGGGAGGGGGTGGTGGAACACAAGGAGAGGGTGGAAACTTGGACCCCAATCCCGTTTTCACCGCTTGCCAGTTGCATGCCCTTGGGAAACAATGTGTCAGAGCCACCTCCTGCACAATGGGGATGGCAACTGACACTGAGGTTGTGAGGGTGAACAGCTAACACCTGCAGTGTCCAACCTGTAAAGACAGCAAAATGAAGATACTGTCTAGAGCTCTGACTTAACCAAACTAAACGGCAAAAGAGCACATGGCCTTATTCAGGCAGGCGTTATCAAAGCGAGACAATTCTCCAGAAGACAATGAGATCTCTCTTTGTCCCTCCTGGGATTTGCAGATTAAAGAGCCACAGATAGGTCAATTCATGAATCAGCGCAGTCAGGCGTGAATAGCAAGCAAAATTTCTTGGTACATAGATAGTATGTAAACTTACAATCATACATTTTTTAATATAATTATTTTGACTTGGGAAAACAGATCCTATTGTTAGCATGTGCCAATAACTCATTTTCATTACTCAAGTATTTGAGTAGTGTACATATTGTACACTTTCAAAATGTAACAAATAGCCAAAGTTAGTAAAAGGTTTTAACAGTTAAATACAAACCTATACAAAAATTTTGCTGTTTGCCTTGAGGCCACCACATTTTCTCTCACTGAGACACAAATCTAAAGCTCCAACGACAGAAATCTTACCAGTTTTACATTTCCAGCCTCCCTGGACATTAGTTAATAAGGACAGGCCCCCACCCCCCGCCCCAACCCCATACCCCGTTAACATCTTCCTTCCTTTACCACACCAGGAATATCTTTTTTTCTTTTTGAAGCTATTTTGCATTACCATTTATTATCAAAGTACTAATGCTGTATTTCTCATTTCAGATTTACTTTTCCTTCCTCAACTAGAAAAGTGGTATTACCGGGGAGTTACCAGGAAAAAAAAGAGTGAAGTCAGGGACATGACAGGCACCAAACCCTCTTGGACTTAGAGAATTCAAAATTGTTGTGTGGGTCCATTTGTATACAAATTTTTTTTAAAAAGTCCTTCATTGCCTTGGATGCAGAGGGCTGACTGTGCGGTTATAGATTTTTCACTGCACAGGGAATGGTACCCCTACCCCCTGAGTTGCTAAGGTTCAACTATATTTTTTTAATTTTTGAAAAGATTTCATTTATTTTTAGAGACAGAGGGAAGGAGGAAGAGAGGGAGAGAAACAGCAATGTGTGAGAGAAAAACTGATCGGTTGCCTCTCACATGCACCCAACTGGGGACCTTACCCCACAATTCAAACACGTGCCCTGACGGGATTTGAACCAGAGACCCTTTAGCTCTCAGGTCAGTGTTCAATCCACTGAGCCTCACCGGCCAGGGCTCAACTGTATTCTTAAAAGTGCATTCAACCTGTACAGGTTACTGAAGTTTAGAGTACATTTTTAGGAATCTCAAGGGAAAGGAAACCCAATTATTAAAGGCCCTATCTCGAAAAAACTCAGTGAAGAAATTCTAAAACTTGAGTTTCTTACCTTGCTTTCATGACTTTGCTTAGGACTTCTGTGAAGAACGTGAACACATTAGAAATAGCCATTTGTTTTTAAGTATCAGTTTTTATTAAAAAGTGCATTTTGATTAATTTATGATCTAGGTAGGCTGTTAAGATATCAGTATACTCTCTGGATAATAACTTTACAAAGATTTAAAACAAACAAAATTTTAAAAGCCTTTTTATTTCCTTCACCATTATTGTTTTACAATACAAATATCACCTTGTGAATACACATACACACAAAAAAGCCCTACGGAAGAGAATTCTGCTGCACACAAAATACAGAGTGGATATATATACTTCTTCATTCTTAAAAAACTATTTTGTTCTCCACATTGGCAAGTATAGAATAGAATACTTCCCCAAACATACTTATGTTAGGAGTAAAACTTAGAGTTACATGCAGTTTCTGCACAAATATATTTTAAAGAAATAGATCTCTTTTTTGTTGTTCGCCAACAAAATTGTCATGAGAATATGGATAACTAATTTATATCTTTCAAGTTTTAGTTAAGTGATCATTTTCAAAACTCGCTTTTTTAAAAAAAGTATTCATGGCTGTGTTCATTGTATAGTTAAAATTGAGCTACCAAATAGATAAAATAATTTAAGTGGTATGATGTCATTGCCACCTGCTCACAACATGGGAACAGGCTCGGACTTTCTAATTACCCCGCCTCCCCCCATTCTTTAATTCAGAGCAATTTAAAAACCATAAGCAGCCTTCTGATTTAACTATAAATGCAAAATTTAGTAGTGTATACATACATTTATATTTTCATGGAATACTTTATTTTAAATAAAAACATTAAGATTGCCTACTGACCATACAATCAAGACAAGAAAGGCACTAGAAACATAGACAAATTTCTCTCCCAAGAAGCATTTTTAAATTTTAACTCTCTTCTCTTTGACATGTAAAAATCTTTAAATTTGGTTTTCATAACATCATTTGAAAAATAAAGTTAGGAAATACTTAGAAAATCACTTTATAACAGAATCTTTTTTTTTTTTTTTGCACTTTTTGACACACTGTCTCTGCTGATTTTACAAAACCCAAAGTTACTAACCCTTTCCGTGTCTGTCATTTTTATTTGAATATCGGTGCAACAGGTAGAAAGATTTCAGAGTCGAACCCCATTCAGGTACTTAGAAACCTTCATAGAGACATTTGCTAGAAAATGGCTTACAGCCCAATCTTTGGGGCAAGAGATATGAAAAGTATGTTTTCCCAAGAAAATAATACGCTTTATTTCCAGATGTGACTGGAAAGACCGGAACTTATGATATAAAAGCTTACATTTATGCTGTTGCATCATATACAAAGGAACATGGTGGTTGCAGGTTATGTAAATTCCAAACTTATGAACAGGAAATGTGTACAGTGCATGATAGGTTAAATTTTCTTTATTGTTGTCCAACGCAGGTCCTTTGGAGAGAAAAAAAGATCACAGTGCTGACCAGGTAACTCAATAGGTTAAGTCAAGGTAATTGTTGAAAGATAGTAGGATTAGGGAGGTGTTTATTTTATGGCATCTTCTCTCATGGAGTTCTTAGCACTTCGGACAGTTCCTTGTTGCCCCGCTTGGTACAGCTGTTATGTGTCATTCACCAGCCGGCTGTATTTAACTTGCCTCCTGAGGTGGACGACTGGCCAGGGGAAGGGCCAATGGTAAGATCGAGGTACAATTCCTTGGACGTTCTTTTCAAAGTACTGAAACGGCCTGTACCACCACACCCTGGCCAGGAGGTTCATCTGGGAAGCTTCTTTTAGCACCTAAGGCAATAAAGAAAGGAAAAACCAAGTCAGGAAGAACAATTAATTTGTTCCAGCCTCGAAAGGAATATCCATACTTTTCTCATAATTCTTCACTTCAAGATCGAGGATTTTCCACATTAAAGTTCACAAAGGGACCCAGGCTGGCCCCGTGTGCACCCACACACCCCAGTTGCAGTCACACCACAGTGCTACGCTCTGCAAACTGGGAAACACCCTAGTAGGGTGGGAAAAACAAATAACTCCAATTCCAGGTGTGCAAGGAAAACTTGTGGCTTACTCAATCTCTCGTCTATAAATAAATACCTCAATTAGCTTTTCAGTTACTCACTCTTCTACAATGAAAATGGACAAACTTAATTAAATGTTAAGTATTAAGCTGTGGAGGGGCCAAGAGTAGGAAGAGGGTAGGGATTCAAGCAACAAGTAGGCACAGGTTAGTAAATATTTTCAGAGACGATGAGAACATGATACTTGTTCTAAAAGGATGCAATCTCCTATGTCATTATATTAATACAGTTCTTGTTCATTTTTTGATTCTCAAGGGGATCAGCATTACAAAAGAACATAATCTTAGTTGACTATCCCTTAAGAGAAAATCAAGACGTGCATTTTTTTTGTACTTCTCCCCTGCCATTCCAGGAACACCAACCCAGGAGCAATATAAGTAACATCAAATGGGGGAAAACTCACTTGCTGATTGGCCATAGTGTGGTACCACCAGAAGAGTCTTGTGGTGATGTAATATGCCACCACCACGTCCACAGTGTAGTGGTCATGCGCTAAGAGAATACAGAAGATTCCAACCACGCTGAGAAGCCAGCAAATCCAGTGGTACCACCAGAGTCGTCGAGGAGAATCTGAAAAGATGAGAAATTTTTAATTATCCCACCATTCAAGTATCATTAAGGGCACCCAACCATACCTCTACTACTATTGTGAATGCAATTACCTTAGGTCTTTCCTTCTGAAAATGAATCTTTTGGGCAAATCTAAGGGCTTTAGATTATCTATCGCCAAGGTTTAGAAAAGAAGCATCTGCTTTTGTAAAGTCATTTTACTAGCTAATTCATATTTGGCTGTTACTTGATTCACATTTATGATGAAGCAAGAAAAACAAATAAGGACAAGTTAATGTGTCATGATCCATTTAAAAAAAAATCTGTCCACAGATATTTAATTTACCTGTAAATAACTTGGGGTTAATTCTTTATACAAAAAAGCAATCCCTTGGTCTATAGATTTTTATACATGGACTAATCAATTATAATTGATACAACTGCCTTATTTGCTTTCCAAGCTCTGCAACCATGCACTACTCTGAGAGTCTTTGAGATTTCCACTTCTCAAATACAAACAAGGGAGACTCCACATGCCTGGGAATTCCAGTTCAAGTGCATTCCCAATGGCAGGGCCATGCCAGATAAATAATCGTCTGCACCTCAATTGGGAAAGCATCAAAATCTCCTCAGCATGGGCTTTGCAGCCTTGTATTCACAGATGGGCTTCAGAGGGTCTGAAACTCTAGGCAAAAATATTGTTTAAATTTGGTCTGCCTTTTCTCTCTACCCCAGGGAATAAATTTCAGGATCTTATTGGATTCTCCAGGGTCTAAGAATCAGTCATGCATTCAATCAATATTTATCGAGCATGTACAACATGCCTGGGGTAGGAATTGCTCTAGGTGATGAGATCAATACACAAACCAGGCAAAGATCCTGCCTTTGTGGAGAGGTCCCTTCCTAGTTGGGAAAAGACACAATAAAAATGATGATGATTAAAAGAGGAAATTATGCACTATGTTAGTGGTGTTAAATGCTATGGAAAAAGAAAAAAAGTTGAATAGGATAAGCAGGATCAGAAGGGTGGCTTGTAATTTTAAGTGAAGCAGTCAGGGTAAGGGTCTTGCATATATAGGGCTCCATATTCCATTTCCAGAAAAATTTGTATTTAATACCTTAACAATATAGCAACAGATAGTGGTTACCATTCATTCTTTGTGTGACTCTATTACAAGTGTGCATATATGCAATCTCTCTTAATTTTTACCATCCCTTCCTCACCATGAAATAGCTATCAGTATCTCGTTTTAAAGATGTGGAAACCAACACTTAGAAAGGTTAAATGTTTTCCCCAAGGTCACAGAGCTAGTAAGTGACAGCACCCTGGTTCAAAAATCAGAGTTTGTGATCCAGTGTGGCACACTGCTCTATCTTCCAGAAGGATCTAATCCCATGAAAGGATTTCACGTACCAACCAGCAGGGGGCAGAAATCCCTCCCCCAGGGCTGCTGACATCAGGCCAATTCTGTTCCCATTTTCTAAGCCCAGTTACATCCTAGTACAAAGGCTAGACCATGCCCTGACAATTCTGAACAGACATTGTTAGAACTCACCCTATTTAGTCACATACTAAGTACCTGACCCTTCTCCCTCTCTGTGTACCCCGAAGCCCACCTTCGCTTCTTCTATTTTTAAGACCAAAACTGGGCATTCACCCTCCAGTCTACCACCCGTCTTCGGAATCCCCACAGTCAATCCTGCAGACGGCTGACCCTTCTTGGTTAATCTCCCTCCGATCCCTCCACTTTTCTCCATCGGCCACGCCACCACCAACTCTGTTCTGGATTACAGGAGCAGACAGTCTCCTGACTTTTCTTCCCGTCTCCAGTCTCGTCCCTCGCCGATCCATCCTGCAAGCTGCTTCAAGAGTGGCTTCTCCCTCTCAGAAAGGGCAAGACAACACTGCCCCGCAGGTACAGCCCTTCACGAGGCACCCCACCTCTGTCAGGTTCCTTCTGGTGGCTTAAGGCATGCTGAATGATCTGGTTCCTAATTACAAGTTCATGCTCATCTCTCATCATTTCCCGCACTCTAAAGTCCAACTGTATTAAACTTCTAACGTGCCACACACTCCCAAGACACCTCCAGACTGCGACGTGTGTCCCTCCTCTGTGGTATCAGCAACCTGGTTTACTTGTCACTCTCTATGGAAACTGTCTAATGCTCACTGAGACTGTTTCTAACAGTAAAATACTGAACACAACTGATAAATAAACAATATATTCCGTGGCTCATTTACAGCAGTGATTTTCAACCTTTTCCAGCTCATGGCATTTATAAACTAATTACTAAAATTCTGTGGCACACCCCAAAAAATATTTTTTGTGGATCTGACCAAAAAATACATATAATTTTGATTCATTCATACCAGATAGCTATTGTTGGGTAGGCTGTTGTCATTTTTCTATTTGATAACCTAAGGGAAAAAGAGGTCAGTGCCCCTGACTAAATAGTCAGGTATTACATGTTTTACAAATCCTGGCAGCATACCAGTTGAAAATTGCTGATTCACAGTATTGTAATGTTAACAGCAATTACAATGAACAAGAATCTCATCTCAAAAATGTAATTGAGAGAAAAGTGGCAGAAGACTACATATATTATGAATATTATGATACCATTTACATAAATTTTAAAAACCAGAAAACAGTAATACACAAGTACAAAAACATGCACGAAAATGACAGGAAAAAGGAGGGGGAAGAGATGAAAGGCTTAATCATATATTTCATTTGCTTTTGTGCTTCATAATAAAATATTTTAAGTATATTCTTTACCGTTTTTACTTATTGATTTTCTGTTTTTGAGAGGGAGGGAGGGGGAGAAGGCCGGGATTGGGGGGGACGGAGAGAGGGAGAGAGAGAGAGGGAGGGGGAGAGACAGACAGACAGATGGACAGAAACATCAATTTATTGTTCTACTTATTTATGCATTCATTGGCTGATTCCTTTATGTGCCCTGACCAGGGGTAGAACCCACAGCCTTGGTGTATCAGGACAATACTCTAACCAACTGAAGGGCCTGACCAGGGCCAGTACCTTTTTTAAAGGAACTTTCCCATTTGGTGTCTGCCTCATTTAGTGTTCAGGAGCCGATGGCCCCTATGAGGGTAAAGACATCACTGATCCACTACTGTACCCTCAGTTGACAGCAGAGTGCCAGGCATTTGAAAAAAAATGACTACTGAGTGAACACATCATCTTCCATGGTCCCATCAGGCCCAATACTAGGTTTTTGTGTCCTTGATATTTCCTTCTGGTTCCTTCCTGCAGCTGTAAAACACCCCAATGCTACAGCTGACACTTGAGAAAACAAGAGCTGCCAGGTGAGAAGAGCAGTTACTCCCTCCCACATGCACTCCCCGGTGCCTGCTGAGCCCAGGCACAGTGGGGACATGCGGCGCTGCCCTCCTGAGGCCCCCAGTCCTGCTTCAGCAGACCCGCCCAGACCACAGCAAACAGTGGGCGAGAAAATTCAACGGGAAGTCTGTTTGAGACTTACACTCTTTGATAAATAAGTAGGTGAGTGTGAGCATGACCGTGTGGCCGCTGTACAGATAGTCCCCACACATGTTGTGAGAGCCAGTGATGGACAGGCCACCGCCAGCAATGAGCTTCATTATTCTTCGCAGTTGGGCTTCCCAGTCTCCAAAAAGCTGGCGGGGAAAGAGAAAACAAGATTCATTATTAGCCCACAAGAAAGTGTGCTACAATTAATACTTATGTTTGGAAATAAGCTTTATGATGTTGTGATTTATAATAAGCAATATATATTTGGTCTTTGTCCCAGTTCCTGACATAGAACTTCCAAACCCTTTGGAATTTCCTGTGATAAGAAAGATAAAGGTGTCTTTTGTTATTCCTAACGAGCCTCTTTCAATCACACCTGAGTTTACTTTAATGTGCTGACTTTTGGAAAGCCCCTAAGGATGGTTGCCAGAACCAACCAGGTGCAGAGAGGGTTAAAACTCTCAGTCTGCTCTCCTCCACATCTGGGTCAATCACCAGTGGCCAATGACTTAATCAATTATGCCTAATAGGGCCTCCACAAAAATCCAAAGGACAGGGTTTGGAGAACTTCCAGGTTGGTGAACAAGTGAAGAAACTAGGAGAGCGGTGCACCCTGGAGAGAGCATGCCCCTTCCCACACACATTGTCTTAAGCATCTCTCCCATCTGGCTTTTCCTGAGTCATATCATTTTATAATAAATGTCTAATCTAGTAAGTAAATTCTATTCCTGAGTTCTGTGAGCCACCCTAGCCAATTATTAAACCAGAAGAAGAGGTCATGGGAACTTATGATTTATAGCCAGTTGGTGAGAAGCACAGGTGCCCATCTGGACTTGTGATTGGCATCTGAAGTGGGAAGGCAGTGGGTGTCTGATGGAGCCCTTCACCTGTGGCATCTGACACTGTCTCCCAGTAGAGAGTGTCAGAATTGAGTTATAGAGAGTTGGAGAATTGCTGGTGTTGGGGAAAACCCTGGTCGTACCAGGGCACAGGAGAGTTTGGTGTGGTTATTGAGAGGAGAGTAGATACACAGGAGTGTTTTGCTTTTAAAAGCTTGTATTAAGACATAAAATCTCCCACCATGAAGTTTGTCCACTCAAGGTTTCCTGTTTCTTGGGAGCCCTTGGAAAGAGTATTGCTCTAGAGATGAACCATGTAGCTTACCCATTTATTTTTATTTTTATTATACTAATAAAGACTGGCCGATTTGCTCTTATAACTAGCTTTAGAGGGGGGGAATTTAAAACTCTAGCGAAAAGTTAGAGCTATATTTTCACATGCTTGGCCTAGAGGACAACTGTTCTACTGCTAAAGCAGCAGAAGGCTGGGGTACTCAAATACAAAAACAGTTTTTGGAATGTGATTTTTGGGGATCAAATTGAAACAAGGAACTGAGTAGGATATACCTTCAATCTTCTGAAGTTATATGGATTGAGTTGCATGTTTTTCCTTTCAATAAAAATGAAAAAAGTTTAAGAATATATCTCCCTGTCTCTGACACAAATCCAGGCTGGGTACTAGAGTAATAAGTGGCTTGAATAACTCCCTGACTGCAATTTTCATCTGCTCTGTCAAATGAAGGTGTGATTGTATATATTTCATGATTTTTCACAACTCTTTTAAATTCTGGTTGACCAATTTAATCACTATGATCCTCTTTCAACATTTAATTGATAATATTATAGCTTTGGAAAACATGTTTATATAAATATATATTATAATTTCTCTTTAAATTTTTTATCATGACTTCTAGTTAAGGAGCAGGTTGAACACACTACACAGAGGATATGAATCTCCGAATTCAAAGGGATTGCTAAGTGCCCAGCTCAATAGAAGAAAACAAATCTAATACAGCAAGACACAGCATCACGAAATTTCAGAAACTAGGGGCAAAAAAAGAAACCCTAAAACTTCCAAGATTAAAAACAAGTTTCACATGAAGGATCAAGAATCAGAAATATTCAAAAGCAATACTAGAAAACAGAAGGCTTTGGAAAAATGCCTCTGAATTCTGAGGGAAAATGATTTTCAACTTAGAATTGTATACCCAGCCATATTATTAACTAAGCACAAACAAAGGATAAACTAAAGCCATTTTCATATACATAAGATTTCAAATATTCACCACCTGGGTACGTTTCTCAGGGAATTACAAAGGAAAGGAGTCAACAAGGAAAAAATGGGATTTGCTAGAATGCCAATAAAAGTAGAGCTGGAAACTGTGCAGTTGGCCTAGAAAGTGAGCCTCCCAAATGGGCAAGTGAAGAGTCTGGAGAGTCGCCTTAAGGAGTTAAGATTAACAGAACACCCAATGCCTCTGCGTGTACTGACAGGAGAGTCACATTGTGGGGGTGAATTAGTACACAGAAAATGAGTACAGTGAAAGGCTTGGCAATTACTAACTCTGTAGGAAACAAAATATTGTGCAGAAAAGGGAAATTATAGAAACATGACGTGGCTGGGAATGGCATTTACAAAACTGTAATCATGTAAGCATTTGAGTATTGAGTTAAATCAAGGACAAAAAGCTGCTCTGGGAAGACAGAATGCGAAGCGTAAATGTGTGTGACTGAATGGTCGGGGGGAGAGGGAGAAGGGATGGGTAAAGGCAAAGGAACACGCGCAAGCTGGTGGGCGAGGGGCTCAAGGACGCTAAATCCTGGCCTTCCACGCAGGAAGTCAGTAAGAGAAACAGCCTCCATTAGCAATCATAAGGCATATTGCTGTGTCACTTAGAGAACTGAGACTAAACACACACACACATGATCTGTAGAAATACCTTCTTTAATAAAGTGTTTATTAAAACACTTTATTAAAGTACACCTTCTGGACACCTTCTGTACAGTTTACAGAGTAGAAAAGTGGGCTGGTGTAGGTTTAGGGAACTATTGTTTCTCATAACAAGTCCTGTGTAACCATTTTCTTTTTAAATTGCATGCAGATATAAACGCAAATATTTTTTACAGTTTTAAATTGAAAACCTGATCTAGTCCTGTCATAAGAACGGATGATGTATAGAAGAAAATTATGGCAAAAAGTGAAGGTAACTCTTTATTTTATATTACTTCAAATTGTCCTCCCAAAACTCTGTGTTTTCGAAACTATAGATCATATTCTCAGGCCCATTACCCCATAATTTACCTCCCATTTTAGCAGGGAAATGTTTGTGAGGAAACTGTATGTGTAGAGGAAGAGGGAGAAATTATGAGGTAAACACGGCATTGAGGAAAAACAGCCATAGATGAATGCTGCGTTTCTTACAAGTGCTCCAAAAACTCCCAAGCTTTCTTTTAAAAATATCTTTCCACGTTTGCCAAACCTCTACAAGAGGGACCTCACTCTAAGCTTAGTCAGAAATGGGGGAAAAAAAATGATGATTACAGCCACATAAACAATTTAATTATGTTTTAAAAAGCAAATAAAAGGCAAATTACAAAACAATCAGGGCAGAAACAAGTTAACATCTTTACTGTGTTCACAGCACATATAAATCAAGGAAACAAGACCAATCTAGGGAACAAAATCTATCAAAGGACAAAGGATATGGCCAGGTAAAAGCACAGACTGTCAGACAAATAGAAATGAAAATTAGCATTGAGAGAAGCTCGTTTTTTTTTTTCCCCATATCAAATTACCAAAGCCAATCAATGGTAGGGCAGGTACTATGTCACTGATCTCAGACAGCTTCCTTTAAGAGGAGGGGACAAGGTAAATGCTGCAGCAGCAGAGCAAGGAGCAGGAGGCGGCAGCGGCAGCCCCCGCAGCAGACAGGCTGGGCCGAAACCATGGCTCTTCTACCAACAGCTGTGTGACCCTAGGCAGCCCAACCACTCTCTGCCTCAATGTCCTCCTCTACCACTCGGGGGTAACATATGTAGTACAACCGGCAAAATCCTCTGCAAAAATCATCAATATTGACCAGCAAGGGAAATAGCCATAACCTCTGACTTAGTTACATTGCTTCTAGTTTGCCTCAAAGGAATGATCCCAAATATATACAAATATCCCACTGCAACATTATTTATAAAAGCAACAAGCTGGAAACAACCTAATCGAGAGATGTTAAATAACTGTATCCTTGCTGTTAGAAGCCAGGGCCAGAGCCAGGGATGTATCGGCCACACTAGGAGGCTGCTATAAACACGCTCTCAAAGCTGAACCTACTGAACCACAGTCTGAGCAGACTCAAATGCACACCATAGTGATACAAAGGCACTGAATTAGGCTATAAACGCTTAATAAGTTACTAAAAAAATAAGTTTATGATGTGTACTTTATATAATAAATATTTTCTTTCATTAAGAGAAAAAAACAAAACAATTGCTTGGTATAACTATGTTTTTAAAAATATGCACAAAGTCGAGATTTGTGCACATTACATGTTAACAGAGTTTGCAAGGAAAATGTTAGAACTTCTCCCAGTCTTTGTGCCCACGGGACTTCTGTTCCTGCTTGTTGGGCTAGAAACAGAGGGGTTCTCGAGGAGTTCCGCAGTTCTGGGATGTGGGTGGCCTTTGAGTGTAGGCAGGAGATACGGAAAGGGGGGGGGGAAGGAGAAAAACCCCAGGAAACTCATGGCTGGATCTTTCATCCTTCTCCGTTTAGTTCCCTTCCCCAGTCGGCCAGCTCCCCTATTTCGGAGTCTTCAGAGAGCGCCCCACGTATCCTGCTCAGGGCCCCGGCTGCGCTCAGCGGGGCGCGCCTACGCCACCTGGACTGGGGCTGCAACCGCCGGTCAGTGGGCTTGTCCACGTCCATGTCTGAAAGAGCGGATGTTTGGGGGACACTGATGGCAACACTTTCCCAGTGGACAGGCACTACAAAGTTGTGGCAAGAAGGTCTCACAGCGACACTAGTATGTGAATTATAGTCTCCTAGAGTCACAGAAAAATCAGTTTTCAGTAAAAATAAAGCACATTTCTTGGCTAGGAAATTAAGTAAAATGTCCACATCACCATAGCAGCTACAGCACAGAAAGAAACTGAGAGCAGCAGAAGGTGGGAAAGGCTTCTGAATAAGAAAGACTACTTTGTACAGTTTAATCCAGTGAGTTAAAAAGCAGGTTTCCCAACGTAGTTTTTCAGTGCTACACAACAGAACGTTCTGATGATGGTCTGCTCACCATCATTCAGTTTGCGGTGGCCAA